GAGCGCCGCCGCGCTTCCCAAGCGGCGCACTATCCAGTGCGCCACTGGGCCGGCCCTAAACTAGTTTTTTAAAACCACACCATAAATTATCTTTTAAACAAAAATCATCATGTATCATCATGGAATGATTGTAATAAAGTGCTAGTATTCAAATATTGTAAAGGTTCAATAAGTCTTTTTTAAAATGAAGTACATTGATTATACATACTTGTGAGGTGCAGAATTGAATTTCAATGTCAATACATGTATAAAATGTGTGATAATCAAATCGGTAATTAGCATATTCATCAATGCAAAACTTAATCATTTCTTTGTGATGAGGACATTTGATCTCCTCTTTTCTTGCCATTTGATAACATGCAGTAACTTATTTTTAATTGTAGACGCCTAGCTTGACTGTACACCACTAGAACTAATTTTTCCTATCTAGCTGTTTTGTGTTCATTAAACACTCTCCTTCTTTCCCACCTCCAGTAACCACAGTTCTGCTCTGTCCTTCTAAATGTTCAATTTATTATTATCATTACTATTGTTTATTTACTTATTTTTTTTAGCTCTGACTTATGAGTGAGAACGTTCAGTATTTCTCTTTCTGTGCCTGGCTTATAAGTCTTTTCTATTTCTCCTCTTTCTGAAACACACAAAGTCTAATATTTGTGTGGACTGACTTCTGACTGAGCTGTTCTGCTTGCGCAGCTGTAGAAGCCGATGTTATTACCTTATTTGCCCAATTTAAAGAACTACATGTTTAAGCATCATAGACAACTTTCAAATGTATTATTTTTGATCCCTGACTTTCCTAATTTGTAGCCAAAAATATGAATAAATAAGATTCACTGCTAGGTTTTTCAAATAAACAGTCACTTTAAATCCTTGGATCTTAGCATTTTAGGAAATAAAACAGACTTGACAATTGAACATACTTGGCTTGATCTTATTAAAACCAATATTTTTTTTTTTTTTGTCTTTTTGTCTTTTTCCGTGTCCGGCAACGGGATTGCAACCCTCGGTGTTGCTCCCGCGCCTCGCTCAGCCAGTGAGCGGGAACCGGTCTGTATGTGGGATCCGAACCCTCGGGCGGGAGCACCGCTGTGCTTCCCAAGCGGCGCACTTATCCAGTGCGCCACCGGGCCGGCCCTAAAACCAATATTTAAAGTACAAAACGAGCATAGAGGATGTTGTGCATTTATATAGACGCTGTCAATCCATGCCTAGTTTCCAATTTGCAATTTGCATGCTCATTTGCCCAATTTGTACATAAGAGTATGAGAATAATGGCTGCCTCCATATCCACGGCTGTACCAACTGCAGTCATCTTTGAAAATCTCAGCCTAATTATTCTCAGTGAATCTAACAGTTTTGCTTCAAAGGGGCACTTATTGCTCACATTCTTTGAAGTGGCTGCTCAGATGCTATGTACCAAACACAGTAAAAAAGAAAATAGGATTGAAATAACACATTTTTATATGAATTACACTTTTATTTTTAAACTGGTAGTGTGATACGAGTTACAAATAATTTAATCTCATTTTTCACAACCAAATTATCCTATATTATTACCTCAACAATACATCCAAATTGCAACATGATCAGTGTAGTTATAGGCTACCTGGACAGAATGGATAGATATGCCAAAGCAAAATGAACCCATTATTAGGGAAATTTTATAATTTGTTTTATTAATATAAATAATATTTTTCTGCTGTATAAATACAGCCATATTTACTTTGAATGATTCAAATTGCATAAAAATATTTTAATGAACAAACTTCTAGCTGCTATTTTTAGCTAAATAGAATATATTCGTAAGTCTGATTTTTACCTGTTTGGGAAAGGGTTGGGGAGTGAAGTAGGATTGGACCAAGGATAACAAACTTCTAGCTGCTATTTTTAGCTAAATAGAATATATTCGTAAGTCTGATTTTTACCTTTTTGGGAAAGGGTTGGGGAGTGAAGTAGGATTGGACCAAGGATACACACACACACGTATATACACATACCCACATACACACATATGCACACACACACACAAGCATGCATATGTATATACACACATACATATACATATATATGCATATGTGTATATGTAAACAGATATATATCCAAAACATCAGGAACTTAATGTACTGTAACCTGGGCCTTATTAACCTATGTATATCTCCACCAGCAGCTGTTGAATGTGTACTATCAAGGACCAGGGCAGCTTAGTGGACTCACCACACTGACATATTATCTGAGCCATTGGGGTCAGACCATGATGTCATCACCTGCCTCCCTGGTGCCTCCAAACTCTCACCAATGCCATGCTCATCCCAAACTCCTCCCATAAGCCACCTTTTCAAATATTCTTTCTATCAGCCTAATTATCCACTGAACCTTTGCTATTCTCTACTGATTGTTCTTTCATCCAGGTTCCCCTGCCATTGCACGAAGCCCCTATTAAATAGTTACTTAACCATCATACACTTTAATCTTAAAAATGTTTCATTCAAAAGTTCACATTAACTAGAACCCACCTTTTCTTAGACACAGTCTTCACCACAGCACTCTCCAGAGGAACTAGCTCCTTTTCCACTCCCTTTCACTCACCAGGAGAGATGAAAAATTTTCTTTCTATTTCCTCCTTAGCGCAGTTTCCAGAGTATTGTTTCACTATGATCATTCAGCAAAGTGACTTCTACCGAAGGTCTCCAGCATATATTTATTGCCTTTACCAATATCTAGGATCTTCCGTCAAATTTCAGCAGTCTGCCCACTATTTCTCTCCATCACATTTCTGGTGCACATTCACTTGACATTCTGGTACTGAAGACCCTCCAACATTCTGGCTACCGTGAACCTCTAAACACCTCTTCAGCCACCTCACCACTATGACCAAACCTTGCACCTAAGCAGCACTCTGAATGATCACACCTTTAAAATCCCAAACCCAAAGTTCTCAGTGCGAACCTCAATCACCTTACCTCCTCCCTCTTGGACCTATAAATGTCTACCTACCATTGTGATGAAATACTATTTGGTCTCCCACAAATCCATGCTGGATAACCCAGTGGGCCCTTACGGCTCTTCAGCTATCCATTTACTCACTTGCTGCTAAATCCCAGTCATGATCCCACAGTGGCTACTCCAAACCTTCTCAATTACCCAAAGCCCAAATTCATCCCATTTCTTTTCCTTAACCTGACCAGCTGATATTACCTTCAACTTTTCTAGGAATGTTGAGGTCTTCTCATTGCAATTGTCTACAGTGTCCTACAACACCAGCTGTCAAATGCAACCTCTAAAATTTATTTTTATTGCCACCTGTTTTTCCTTCCATCATTCTTGTCCCAGAGAAAATGTGTCCTCCTTCTTTTGGTGAAAGGCTTTTTAATGAACCATCTCTTCAAATATCACGCCCCAGCAACTGGTCCCTCTCTCATCCGCATCTTCAATCTTCCCTCTACTGGCATGTCCATCCCTCTGCCTATAAACTGGCTCACTCAACTCCCCAATTCTAAAAAACAATATAATAAAGTCTTTCCTTGATATGAAACCCTTAAAAGGTCATCTTCTGCTGTTCTGTTCACTGCAAAAATAGTCTTTACTCATGCCTCCTACCTTTCCTTTCCAACCACTTGAAATCTACTTTCACATCTAATAATGACCCAATAATTAACTTCAGGTATTTTTTAGTTCTCATTCTACATAAATAGATATTTTAAGGTGATTTTCAGGTAAGATTACAAAGTGGTTGACATATGTTATCTCACACATTGCTCAGAACTCTTTGAAGGTATTATCATGCATATTTACAAATGTGGTAAGAGAAGCTTGTAAAGGTTAAGCGACTTGCCTAAGATCATAGAGCAAATAAAATGTGTATGAATTTTAGTCTATGTAGTCTAAGTCAAGGTTTCTTGACCTCAGCACCACTGACATTTTGAGTCAAGTAATTCTTTGTTGTAGGGGCTTTCAAGTGCATTGCAAGATTGAACACTATCTCAGAAAGATAGCAAAAAATGGAAAGTGAATTATAAAATTTTTAACTCCAAAATTATTTCACTAAGGGAATGGCTCTATCAAATGAAATGCTTCTTTGAAGCCAAAAAGTTTAAAAGTGCAGAGTAAGGGGTTTGTAGATGCCAACTAACCCAATGCAAGTTTAATGACAGGTACATACAAAACAAAAAGCTGTGTACATTAAAATTTACAAAGTCGTGGATCTTGATCTAAAGAATCCGGAAGCAAAACAGCTTCCTTTCCATGAAAACACTTACCTGGTTTTAACCTTAAGGATAATGTAATGTTATATTTTACAATACACAGTAAATATAAAGAAATTCTATAGCTGGTAAACTGAAAAGCATTTTTTTCTTGGCTATCCTCACACACAGAATCAACAGTTTATGAATAATAATTACTATTCAAACAGAATACGAAAACATTAAACAAATGTGTTATACAGGTAGCAATAAAGTTTGTAATTTATTTTATCAAATAACATTAACTTTTACCTTAATATGGAACTATATAATTCTATTTCTCATGCAGGTATGTTAAGCTAAAACTAAGCTAAATCAGAAAATTAATTTTGAAATTTGAAAAAATTAAGAATGAAAAAACTTACTTCCAGTTAATTTTTAAAAAATTAACTTGTATATGAAAAGCAAAAATACAGGGCTACATCAAAAACTTCATGGAAACATTTGTATTGTCTTTTAATTTTTTTTTTCCATGAACTTTCTGAAGTACCCTCATATGATAAACCCACTGCCAATATCATCCTGAATGGGGAAAAGCTGAAAGCTTTTCCTTTAAGAAAAGGAACTAGACAAGGATGCCCACTCTCACCACTCCTATTCAACATAATTTTGGAAGTACTAGCCAGAGCAATAAGAGAAAAGGAAATAAAGGGCATCCAGATTGGAAAAGATGAAGTCCAACTGTCCCTGTTTGCAAATGACATAATCCTATATATCGAACAGCCTAAAGCCTCTACAAAAAACTCTTAGAGTTGATAAAGGATTCAGCAAAGTAGCAGGATACAGAATCAACACACAAAAATCAGTAGCATTTCTATTCTCCAATAGTGAACATGCAGAAAGAGAAATCAAGAAAGTTAGTCCATTTACAATAGTCAACAAAAAAATAAAATACCTAGGAATAAAGTTACCAAGGAAATGAAAGATCTCTATTATGAGAACTACAGATCACTGTTGGAAAAAAGAAAACACAAGAAGACAGAAAGATATTCCATGTTCGTAGGTTGGAAGAATTAACATTGTGAAAATGTCCATACTACCCAAAGTAATCTACAGATTTAATGCAATCCCCATCAAAATACCAATGACATTCTTCACAGAAATGGAAAAAAAAATCCTAATATTCATATGAAACAACAAAAGACCCTGAACA